CAGAATGGTGCTGTGTGTCTCCCTGGCTCCAGTGTAGTGAGGGATGAAATGCGTTCCCTCCTGTCTGTGAAATACTTTGGGGACTTTAAGAAATCTTGGAGAAAAGTGAGAATTTCATTTCATGATGTGGTATGGAGTGTTCACAGTATGCAGAAGAAAAGAAGAATATATTTTAAAAGCAAATGGCACTGCTTTAAACAACCCACAAAACCTGACGAACCTGATAAACATGAGGTAGGACCAGTGGTCCTGTACTGCCATCTGCCATCCTCTCATACAGCTGTTCATAGAGTGCTGACATGAGGCGCCGTGAGAGTCACATGACACCTGACCAGCTCAGTGCTGCCACCTGCTGTCCTATCTTTGTACAGAAGGGACTTGGTGGAGCTTGAACTCTGTCAGGTTAAAGAATGGAGCTGGATGTCTGCTGGGAGGACCAGAGTTAGTCCACAGTGTCTGAAACATTACTGTGATTATGGGTCATATTTCCAGATATCTATATATAATTACATATATTATTAATATCTAATATTACACCTCAACTAGACCTGCACCCTTCTCTTAACATCCTGCTGGGCGTCAGGACCTTGTCTCCTTCAAGACTGGATCAGCTTCATCAAGCTCATCCTACCCTCAGCACTGAGCTTTAGTTCCTTTAACTTGTTCATGAGCAACGTGTTTGTGTGACCGGGAATGACTCTGGTCATCTATAAAATAATGAGGTTAAACTATCTAATATTACAACAACAAAAAGACACTGAAAGTGACCTGTAAAACTCAGCTAGGGTTATCATTTATAGAAAGATATTGCTGCTCTGGAATCATTACAGAGAAGAGCAACCAGGTACATTCTAAAGCTTACGGACCTGACCTGCACTGACAGGCTGAAGGAACTGAGTCTCTTTAGTCTTGAACAGAGAAGACTGTGAGGAGACTGATACAAGTACTAAGAGACTGTCCTACACTGACAGGCATAAGGAACTGAGTTTCTTTAGTCTTGAACACAGAAGACTGTGAGCAGACCTCATACAAGTATTAAGTATAAAGTGACCTCACCTCAAACTACTGAGGAACAGTGTGTCCAGTTTGTCCTGGATGATTGCAGGCACTGAGATTTAGATATGAACCGAAAAGACTCAGAGGGGGGCTTATACAAGTATTCAAAGTTTCTCAAAGCCACTGACAAAACGAGAACAGTAGATTTCTTCAAAAAGCACAGTGAAATACAAACTAGAGGACACAAGTGGAAACCACTGGAAAGAGCATTAAAACTAAAAACTGAAAGCTCTTTACACCAAAGGTGGTGGGAGTGTGGAACAAGCCACCCAGCCATGTTGCCTACTAGCAGCCAAATGAGCTGAGTGGGCTGAAAGACAGTTCTTGTACATAAACTTTCTCATGCTCTTGATGAACTGATTAAAACAAACTTGGATAATTTAATAAACAGCCAAACTGTTCCAGTTTAATTCCTCTGTACAGAGAAGGCGAGCTGGTCATCATCCAGGTGGGGCTGCACATTGGTGGTGGTGGTGGAGGGGAGTCCACATTACCTGTAAAGCGCTTTGAGTGGAGTGCCCAGAAAAGTGCTATATAAAAGTGAAAAGTGCAATCATTATTATTATTATTATAAACTGCATGAAGCATGTCCTATCGGATTTCACTGGACCCTGAGCGCCCCCGTCTCCAGCTCCGGAGCCCTGATCCTGCTCGCGTCCGTGGTCACTCAGGATGTCACTCCTACAGCAGACAGGGATGGTCAGTACCGGCCGATGCTCTGTGGACGTGGTAAAAACACGGAGCGTATCTCGGTGGGACTCGGAGGACTCTGGCAGTCAGCCCCAGAGACACTCAGTAAAAAGGCCATATCTTTACTCTCTGCAGGACGAGGGCTGCGTGTTGAAGGACCTGCAATCAGTGTCGATCTTCCACAGGTCGGCAGCTGCTACTTAAAAAAGAACCGAACCGTTTCCTAAGTACTGATTAAACATACAGCTGGCCCAGTTAAGATCCCCAGGACAGGAGAACTTAAGGCTGGGAGTAGGTGTGCAGGCCCTCCTAATGAGTCCCCTTGGGCACAAGCGGAACTCCTGCGTGCCCACAGCGTGACAATTCCACACACACAGTCTCCTCCCCTTTAAGAGCGCACTGCCGGCCGGGGGCGGGGCCGCAGCTGCGCGCCGGATGTTGTTGTGGAGGCAGCAGGAACAGCTGAGAGCCAGACCACAACAAGACGCTGCGGACAGACCCGGGGTTCACAGCGGAAACACGACCAGAGAGCGGGCGGCACCGAGCCCAGGACCTCACAGACACACACCATCGAGAGGTGAGGTCCTGAGCCCCCACCCCCCAGCGCTGGTTGTCGGGTTGGTTCCGAGCCGTTTTCCGTGACGGGGCTGCGGGTCATCGACACAGATCCGGGCCCGGCAGCCAGCTAGCTGGCGTAAATCCGCTCGAAGCGTCGGGCTCGGCGGTGTGGCGAGTCGCCTGGTGGCCTAGGGGCAGGGCCGTACTAACCTGCTTCCAGCCGCACGGACGGACCAGCGACAACCCACTGGTGTGGAGTCCCGAGTGGGGGGGGTCTGTGGAGCTCCCCCCGCCTCCGGGCGACCCCACTCGGCCTTGTGTGTGTGTGCGTGTTTTCGCTTGATAAGGGCGGACAGAGACGGCTGTTGTCTTCAGGCAGCAACAGGCAGCCAGAGTGCGAGACGGGCTGTCTGTTGCTGCTTAATGATAACAACGACAGCAGTGTAGCACTTCCGCTCCTGCGGGTCGTTTCGTCGAGTTTTCTTCTGGGGGTGTCGATTGTGTGTGTGTGTGGTGTGTGTGGGGGGGTTCGTCAGCTGCAGCGGCGTGGCTGCCCCCCTCTCGGCGGCCGCGTCACGCGTGCGCGTGTGTTTGTGTACATGTGTACAGCCGCGAGTGGAGTGGGGGGGCAGACTCGTGAGAACGCAGCTTTCACTGCGTGTTTCTGCCCTGCCGTGCCGTGCCGTGCCGTCCCCGTCCTGAAGGACGCGGTGGGTTTGTAAAGCGCCCTGGACAGCAGTCCTCTCTGGGCGCAGGATCATCGCTGCGTCACCTGTCTCTGTCCCTCGGGCTTTGTGTCTGTGAGGACTGGAAAAAGTGCGTTTTTCACAGAGGTACAGTTAGTACAGAGGCCCCGCTGTGAGTCCCGGGTCTCTCTGTCTCTCTCTCTCTCTTTGTGTCGCTGACGCATTCAAAACCGCACTTTCCCAATTGTGTTTTTCACAGAGGTAGAACAATGTCGTGCCCGCAGGTAGACCAGATGCACAGTTGCAGTGAACAGCTCTGTAGTACAGGACTGCACAGGTACAGGAAGGAAAGAGGGAGCACAAGGGGGCTCTGGTGTCCTCAGTCTTGGTCCCACAGACGGCAGCTTTGCTCCGCTGGCTCCTCAGACGAGCATCTCTGACCCTGCGGCTGCTCATGCTTCAGTAGTGATCCTTCTCTGTATGCCTTCTGTAGGGAAGGAGCTGAAATCAGTTAAAGACCCAAATCAAAATGGCAGCCAGGGTGATTCAACTCCCAAGCAATCTTCAGGGTTTATTGCATCAGCAGGATCTCATATCTTAATCTGCACTCTGATGAAGACCGGCTCCACACGGGGGACAGAGTCTCTCTCTCTCTGATGAAGACCAGCTCCCCACAGGGGGACGGAGCCTCTCGCTCTGATGAAGACCGGCTCCCCACAGGGGGACAGAGCCTCTCGCTCTGATGAAGACCGGCTCCCCACAGGGGGACAGAGCCTCTCGCTGTGATGAAGACC